CGACGGGCCCCGTCGGCTAATAAATCGACGGGGCCCCGTCGATATATTGGGAGCCCTAGACATTCCGAGCATTACCTAAGCCTACAATGCAAATAATGAAGTCAGCGTGGACCTGATTATCGTCACACTGAGCACAGCTTGTGGGGACACGAGGGGTTCCAGAAACCCAACGGCACGACCTGAGCCAAGCTTCCCCGCAATTATACTCCGAATGCCAAGGATGAATGAATGCTTCTTCGCATGCCCAGCAGGTCCAGCTGTGAGAGTCTGCAGGTCTGGACCATTGCTTAGTGACTTGTTGGGAATATGAAGATGGAAACACATTGTGTCGCCAATTGCACAGCCTGTCGCAATAGGGCACAACTTGATTTTGCTCAGATAGTTCTTTGAAGCATCGTCCTTTTTAGTGCCCACGATACATTACAAGTTCGCACACAAGTACGATCTATGATCGACTATACGTATCTGACCGATGCCCGGCCATAGCTCCCAGCTCTTAGCCTCAGCTTCGCACAACTTCGGAGGGGTGGGTCAGTCGCGGGGCGCTCTTCGACATTCCGAGTTTCCACCGCAGCATGCCGAACCCATCTGCATTTTCGACCATACAGGCACACAACAGCTCTATCCCTGCCTTGGCTACTTCCCGGGAGGCACAGCAAGACAATAGCTCCAAGCCGAATCACGAAGCGGGGTGCCAAAGTGACAGAGTTCAGGCGCCGTGTAGTGTAGCTCCGGGAATGGTCTTCTCTATGCAGGTTGGCAAACGTCCACGCCACCTTGTATCAAGTGCGGGGATGTGCTTGGATTCGATTCGCGTAACAACATTGCTCTCGATGGAGTTGCTCGAATAATGCCGCCGTCGAGACCTTGACGGCCGCCCATCCTGTAGTGTAGCTGAACATGGGCCCAGGTACATCAGAGACCAGCTCATGGTCGCGCTTCCATGTTACCCACGATGCGAGCAGCATGGCAACGGGAGTTAACTCGCGGCAGAGCTCGGCTTGTATCGACCCTCCTGCGTGGTACTTGCTCGCCCTCCCAGTCGTCCACGATGTTCTCCTCGACATCATGCACACTTTCCATACCATGCAGGGCCATGAACCATAATTACCGTTGTTGATCTTCCGATCTAGGCAATACCCCCCTCAGCCAGGCAATTCAAGGTTTCTACTTAAGACCCCGGGCCTCCCATCATCGTTGGAGCATCATCAGTACCACACTCATCCTCTACTACTACTACAACAAGACCAAGGCCTCAAGTGCTTATATAGTCGAGCCTCAACCTCCTACCTCTTCCAACTCTCATCCAACACTACCTGTCTACTTCAAAAGACTTCTATAAAGACATATTCAAAATGGTATTACTAGCCCGTTCTGCCCAGCGTTACGCTCGTCCCTTATCAACAAGGGCACTTTCTACAGCTGCTTCTGTTACAAAGAGCCCACGCCTATCGACGTTCAGAGCCGGCACGGCCATCCGGCCGGCTGTGGCATCGACGGGCACCTCCCCCCTCTCCCTCCCACATCGCAATCCCTTCGGCTCTCCAGCCTCAATTCGCATGCTGACAGGTCAACGTGAAAAGGTCAAGGTTCTTCTGGTTCTCTACGACGGTGGCGAGCACGCCAAGCAGGTACGTTTTCTCACCGTGAAGGGGAGAATTATATCATCCCTTCTACATCTGAATGCTACCCCGGCCAAATCGCCAAGGGTCGACGCACCGTCCGCACGGCGCCCGCATCTGCCCCCCGCTTTTCTGTTCAATTATAGGCGAGTTTCAACCTTGGGACTATCATATGGACCAATGACGTTACTCTTGAGCTGTAATTCGGAAAAACGCGCGGGGCAGGCGGAGAGTTTTGCTGCGAGTGTTTCTTCCTCGAAACAATTTGCAAAGGGGATTAATCGAAACAGCGTGCGACCAGAGCTGACATCTTTTCTTTGCAGCAACCCAAGCTTCTGGGTACCACTGAGAACGAGCTCGGCATCCGCAAGTGGCTCGAGGACCAAGGTCACACTCTCGTTACTACTTCCGACAAGGAGGGTGAGAACTCCACCTTTGACAAGGAGCTCGTCGATGCCGAGATCATCATCACCACTCCGTACGTACCTTGCAACAACATTTCCAATCCTTTTTGCTACTTTCAGCAGAGGCATTGTATTAGGCGTCCAGACTAACATTCTTGCAACAGCTTCCACCCTGGTTACCTGACCAAGGAGCGTCTCGCCAAGGCCAAGAAGCTCAAGCTCGCCGTCACTGCCGGTATCGGTTCCGACCATGTCGACCTCGACGCTGCCAACACCACCAACGGCGGTATCACCGTCGCCGAGGTGACCGGATCCAACGTTGTCTCGGTCGCCGAGCACGTCGTCATGACCATCCTTCTGCTGGTCCGCAACTTTGTCCCCGCCCACAACCAGATTGTCCGCGGTGAGTGGGACGTTGCCGCCGCCGCCAAGAACGAGTACGATCTCGAGGGCAAGGTTGTCGGTACCGTTGCCGTCGGCCGCATTGGTGAGCGTGTCCTGCGCCGCCTCAAGCCCTTTGACTGCAAGGAGCTCCTCTACTTTGACTACCAGCCCCTGTCGCCCGAGGTCGAGAAGGAGATTGGCTGCCGCCGCGTCGAGTCCCTCGAGGAGATGCTGAGCCAGTGCGACGTTGTCACCATCAACTGCCCGCTGCACGAGAAGACGCGCAACCTGTTCAACAAGGACCTGCTCAAGCACATGAAGAAGGGCGCCTGGCTCATCAACACGGCCCGCGGCGCCATTGTCAACAAGGAGGACGTGGCCGCCGCCGTCGCCAGCGGCCAGCTCAACGGCTACGGAGGTGACGTCTGGTTCCCCCAGCCCGCCCCCGCCGACCACCCCTTCCGCACCATGCAGAACCCCTTTGGCGACGGCTCCGGCAACGCCATGGTCCCCCACATGTCCGGAACCTCGCTCGACGCCCAGAAGCGCTACGCCGACGGCACAAAGGCCATCCTCGACAGCTACCTGTCCGGCCGACACGACTACCGCCCCGAGGACCTCATTGTCCACGAGGGAGACTACGCCACCAAGGCCTATGGCCAGCGCGCCAAGAAGAACGCTTAAATACCCATTCATTACTAGAAGGTCGCGGGAAATACCATCCTGCCCCCGGGGGAAGTGGTATACTGAGCAATTTGGGAAGATATTCCCCCTTTTCCACTGTACATAGTTAGGCATACCCGATTTAGGCACTGATTTTATGAATGTCACGATCAATAATTCATTCCTAAAAGAAGACTACTTTTCTAATCAATGATGTGTTTTGTGTTCACTGCTTCCTAGGGCGAAAGGGACTTGAGCCCAAACAGTTCATCATTTTACAGATCGTATAAAGACAAGTGTAGTCGGGAAAATATGAAGTAGTCATTGAATTCATTGGTCCAAGTTCCTATCCTAAACGCCATACACTCATGATGCTGATACGACAGAATATAAAAGCCCATTACTCCTCGTCACTGCTATCTATAATGAAGCCGGCCTTGGCCCGGGGTCTTCGGCGGGCTGCCGGCTTTGGTGCGTCCTCATCCTCATCCGCGTCCACCATCTCTTGGTCGGGAGCGGAGCTGGGCTCTTTGGAGAGCCGCCGCCGCTTGTTGGCATTTCTGCTGCCTGTGGAGCCAGCGTGAGGGCTGGACGAGGGAGGCGTGTCGTCATCATCATCGCCGTCGTCATTGTCTTGGCTGTCCTCATCCTCATCATCCTCATCGACCAAGGTAGTGTCTCGGAGGCGACTAGTAGTCGAGTCTTGTGTCGACTTTGGGCCTTTCGTTCTATCTCCTAGCTCATCCTCATCGCCGCTGTCGCTGTCGCTGCTGCTGTCGTCCGACTCTAGTAACTCGGCAATCTTGCGTTTCGCCGCGCCCAATCTCGGACTCGGGGGTAGCACAGTCACTGCCGCGCTTTTTGCGAGGGACTTTTGCTTCTTACGCAACTCTGCTTCCTTAGCAAAGAACTCTCGGTCGCGCTCCTCGTCTGTTTCGTCGTCGCTGGCGTGAACATAGACGTCAGACTTGAAGCGGCGTGCCTTTTCCTTCTCCCTCTGGCGACGTTTCCGCGCCCTGTCTTCCCTCTCTTCTTCCGTGATTTCCTTCTTCTCGCGTCTGCGTCGAGTCTTTTTCGGCTTATCTGCATCGCTGTGGTCTGCCGGACGCACAGTGGGACCACCAGCGGGGAAAAGGATCTCATCATCATCAATGCCGCTTTCGTCGTCGTCAAATACTGCCTTCTTTCGAGGGGCACGCGGTGCAGTCTTTCTGCGAAGTTGATCTTCCGCCAGCTTACCCTCTTCGAATGTCGGCGGATCAAACTCGGCTTTACTGACCAGGTCCAAAGACTCTTTGAGTTGATCTGCGGTAAGAGCGGCGGGAATAATCCAAGCCGACTCGGGTGTCTCGTCCACGGATGGCGCAAGACGCTCAAACCCGACCAATTTCATGAGAAGGCGAAGGTGTGGATTTTTGAACATTGCCACCCGGCGAGCATCGTCATCAGGACGAACAAAGATGTCGGATGCCTCCTTTTGGGCAGCAGCTCCTTCGGGTTGCTCTGCATTATCTGCAGCAGGTGGTTCGACAGATTGCAACGCCTTCTCCGCCGTCCCCCAGGCCCTCCTTTCGGTTTCCGCGGCGCTGAGTTGGTCTCTCACCCACTTGATGTGGTGTGCCATCTCTTTGTCCAGCAATGCACCCACAGCAATTGCCACTTTCCGTTCATGCTCGACTTCGTGGCGAAACTCCAACTCGGCTGCGGGCTTTGGTGTTGAAGACGGTATCGTCTGCTTCTCATAGCCAAACTGCAGATAGTGTGCTGTAGCATTGATTTTGGAGAATAACATCTCAATAATCAAGGCTGGCCTTTCGTCAATCTTGCGGATGCATTTCTTCAAAATCTGCTTTACAAGCTCTTCCCACTCCTTGTAGCTGCTGCAGCTTCTGTCCAAAGGCTCTTGGCCTTTGATCATGCCGTAAAATAGGTGAATAATGTCCACCCTGAAAAGCATGACGGCCCAGTCCTGCTTGAAAGCTATGCGATAGAAGTATCGGTGTGCACGCTTGAGTTGGGCATCATTCAAGTCTTGGTAGTATCTTGTAAACTTGACAAAAGTGTCGACAACCGGTTGTGGGATAAACTTGTCAGCCCACTTGTTGAAGTTGAATTTTCGTTCCTTGGTCGTCTTTTCGGCGTTGGCCTCGTCATTCTCGGAATCATCGTCTTCCTCTACTGGGTTGCTCTCATCACCGCCATCCTTGTTGGCAGCCTTCTTCTTCCTCACCCTTTTGCGAGACCGCACCTGCATATCGACATTCTGCTTTGAGTACGACTCCAGGATGCGCAGGTATGTGTGTGCTAATTCCGTACAAGCATCGAGGTACTCGAAACCCTGATCCTTGAAATTTCTCACAACCGCTGCCACTCGTTCATGAGTTTCTTCCTCGTAGAAGATTCGACTGAGTATGTTCTCGGCAATCTCCTCATCTGCCTCATTGCCAGTCTCACTCATGTCCTGCACAGTGAGCAGGATTTGTGTAAAGCACCTCATGGCTGCAGTCAGCTCCTGCCAATTTCTATTGTCGAGAGATTCTTGCATGGCTCTGTTCAAGGTGATGAACATTTCCTGGTTCAGCACGGTGGCAACCAAGTTGAAGCTACCAACATCATCTTGGCTTGTCCTCTTGCCTTTTGCTGCCTTTTGTCGTGTCCGCTCAGCTTCTAGGAACCATGACGTGAGGTAGAAAAATTGACGATGGTGGTATTCCAGAACATAGTCTTTGCGGTCGTCCAGCTTCTTGCGCACATTTAGGAAAAGTGGATTGAATCCAGAATCTAGAAATTCTTCCACAAAGCTCCGGAGCTGTTCTCGTGCCCTTGCATTCAATGAGACCGACGGTCCAAGGTCCTTGGGCTCCATCTCCTCTTTCCTTGGCCTCCTGGGCGGCCGGAACGTCTTGCTGCTGTCCATCTTCTCTTGTCTCGTAGCGGCATCGAATAGAGCATCCTGCCCAGAAACGGTAGACATTTTGCCGTCGTCTCGCTGGACCCAGAGCATGGTTCCCCAGCGATTATGTCTAGTCGGCGCTTTGCGGTTGTGTGGTCGATGCATTGCCGCCTCCTTACTCATCAGCGTTGTCAACTCGTTTGCCTTCGCCTTGCTCAACTGCTTGTCGTCCATGAACAGCTTGTTGATGTCGACTCTCTTCACCAGATGGAAGATTATTTCCATAAGGATAACACCTTCGTGGTTGAAATCGTCGCCCATGTTAGATGCCAACGTCAGGATCGTAAGCAGAATGTCCTGGTAAGAGAATGCATCAATCAAGGCCGACCTGGAGATCTGCGACTCGTCTCCGTCGTACTTGACACCTGGCGGAGGTGCAATCATGGCAATGTTGCGCAAGAACAATAGGACTAGCTTGATGATACCCTCGTCTCGTGTAGTTCGGTCGTTCTTCGGCAGCGCCATGGATGGCAGAGCCACACGAACAGCCGTGTGCAGAATCTGTGCAGCATCAAAGTTGATGATGGCGCGCTTGTAGCTAACCTGAGCCAGCTGCAGTACGGGAAGATGCCGGTGGTGGTTGACGGTCATCTCTTCGAGGTTGCGCTCCAGCGGCCAGGTCAGGGGCACCATCAACTCGTAGCAGGCCAGCGCAGCTCTTGCCTTGAACTTGTTATCGGTAGCCGCCTCGGGCCAAGAGGCAAGTATATGCAGCAAATCGCCCTCTATCAGGTTCGCCTCGGCCAAGCATCGCGCAACATCCATGCGGTTTGTTTTCTCGTCGTAGAATCGGATCCATTTCTTGATGTCGCGGAGAACCTCCAGGGCGGAGTCTCCCATCACGTATCGTCCGTCATCTTCAGCACTGAATCCACCAAGCTGAGAGGTCCCAATTAGCTTTCACATGGTCTATTGCGCCATGGGACCTGGCCACTTACAGCAGAAACGAGACTGTTGATGTGTGCTCTGACTTCTGGGTGCACGACATCATTGGAACCTTCTGCAGCTTCCATTCTGGGCGTTTTTGAAGACTCTCACCGAGTCTGGGTGCCTCTGTCGTCGTTCAGTCGTGGCGCATTGAATTATTTTGCTATGTTGTAGTTGCGTCTCCGTACCTCGATGTAAATTTACACGAGTGACGCGTCTAGCAACGAACCGAAGGCCAGCCAAAGCGCGTCGCGTCAGGAACAAGCTTAAAGTGGTTTGGCCCCACCTCGATTTTCGCTGCTCTCCTTCAGTGGTGATCGGCGTTTTTGTGCTGGGTCGACCGACTGAATTGGCACTAACTGCTCCAATGCCGGGGGCCGCGCCAATGCGCTGCTGCTTTACCCCGGGCCCCCGAAGTTAACCGAGCTTGTTGCGATTGATAACGTTGATTGATTACCTGCCTCGCATCTCACTCAAGACACATTTTCGTATCTGGAATTGCTACACGCTCTCACACAAATACAATGGCAAGCATAATCGCAAGGAGGACTCTACCCCAGGTGGCCCGTCGGGCCAGGTACTTCAGCTCAACTGCAGCTAGAAATGCTGCTGAAGTAAAGAGCTTGGGTGTCATTGGTGCTGGCCAGATGGTATGTCACGCTTGACATGTGATAGGCACACACGTACAGTTTTCCATACTCACATCAACATAGGGACTGGGAATTGCTCTGGTTGCTGCACAAAGGGCCGGAGTACCAGTTACACTTATCGACTCGTCTAAAGCCTCTCTAGACAAGGGCGTGAGTTTCGCAGGTGGGTGACATCATCCTGGCACCAGCTACCGCTCAGGCAGTGTTGCCGTGTTGCATCTCGCACTGCTAACCCCCTATCTACAGAAAAGCTGTTGGCCAAGGATGTCTCGAAGCAGCGAATCACACAAGAACAGGCTGACAAGGCAAGATCGTTGCTCACGCCGAGCACGGCCATTGAGGATCTGTCCAAGGTGGACTTTGTCATTGAAGCTGTCCCGGAGATCCCCAAACTGAAGTTTGACATCTTTTCCCAGTTGGCGCAAATCTGCCCAAAGCACGCAATTCTGGCAACAAACACATCTTCCATCTCCATCACCAAGATTGCTGCCGCGACTACCAAGGACCCCAAGGATACCTCGGCTAGCTCTCGCGTGGTGTCGACTCACTTTATGAACCCCGTACCTGTACAAAAGGGAGTCGAGATCATCAGCGGCTTGCAGACCAGCGCCGAGACTCTTGAGACAGCAGTGGCGTTTTGCAAGGCCATGGGCAAGATTGCCTCGGTGTCGGCCGACTCTCCTGGCTTCCTGGCCAACAGGATTCTGATGCCGTATATCAACGAGGCCGTCATTTGTCTCGAGACCGGAGTCGGTGACAGAGACTCGATTGACTCGATTATGAAGAACGGCACAAACGTACCAATGGGACCGCTGCAACTTGCAGACTTTATCGGACTCGACACGTGTCTGGCCATCATGAAAGTCCTCCATACGGAGACTGGTGACTCAAAGTACCGACCTAGCGTGCTTCTGGCCAAGATGGTTGATGCAGGCTGGCTTGGCAAGAAGAGCGGCAAGGGATTCTACGACTACTAGATGGATCCGGTATAGACAACAGTCACAAAGAATCTTGTATAAAATTCCAATCGGCTATCCCGTGTTCGCAACTTCATCCCATCTGAGTCTAATCACTACCATGTACTGCGTGTGGACTTGTGGCTCCCGGCAAGTCCGCCTCGTTTATACCTTTTCTGACAGATTGCGGAGCATCATACAGCACGTACGTAGGATCCACGACGGAACATTGTGTTAGGAGACCCACGACGGACTTGCAATGATCATGCAACAACGATATTGTGACGTGTTCTAGAAAAAGAAGGTGGCTATGAGTATGGTTATCAACGGGTCTCTTGTTGCTCGGTTGCGAATCTAGACCTACATTGGGACAATGCCCTCTTGCAGTAGTGGACTCAAACCGTCTGTGCAAAGAGGCTATGGTGGTTTTTGAGCGACCGTCGGAATATAGCATCATCAATTCTTGTCCTAAATCTCTCATATTTTTCCTCTTCGGAGGTTTGTGGACACTAGGAAGCTAGTTGAAACGGCGACGAGCTGTCTCACTCTCCGGCCGCCAACGTGTTATGGTCTTGTTGTGCTTTGACAATTCTGAAGCACTCACAAGACATTTGTTGGTTGGACATCTACATTTGCGCCGTACACTCATTCTCTCACTTCAATCTCACGAGAGCATCCCTCCGCGTAAAACTTTAAATCATGTATTTTACCCATCAAGTATCATTCTGTAGTGTTCATTTAGGCAGAATGCCACTTTCACTGTGAAGTGCGTGAACTCGGAGTCGCGGGAGTTGAGAGCTCTCTGGCCCTTCTTCTTCCTTCAAGATCGTATCATGGGGGTCAATGGCCATTCAGTGGCTAGAAGAGGAGGAGGAAACCTTTGTTGCCATGCTTTGTTGACGGAAAGCGATATACCGGTGAGGCCAGAATTGACTTGCCCGAGCGATATCCGGATGGATGAAGGGACTCGCTTTCAAGGTTTCATTAAATCAGGTTTCCATTCCTCCAATGGCTCTGTCCAACATCAGCAGCTACATTAGAGCAGCTTGGACTTCCCTAATGCGGATACATCTCTTGAAAGAGTAATGCTTGAGCCGTCCCTAGAGCAGTACACCTAAATTTGAGCTTTGGTCTATACATGCGCATATGTGTCTGAGCGATTGTCTCGAAATTATTCTGCAAGCCGTCTTGTACATTGCCATATCCTCGAGCTCAAGACATTCAATGTAGTGCACGTGTTTGTAAGCGTTCACGGTATATAGACTGAGGTTCTTGAGGCTCATCCCTATAAATCTGATTCCATATCAGACATACGTGAGAAGTTTTTCTGTACAATCTAATACCTGCATGATAATCACTACATCATAGGTGACATCAAGGACTAGGCAACAGATGCCGACGTTAGACCTCGCAAGCTAGCGATCAATCATGGTCACATCAAGTATCTACGTGGCACTTATCATTGCAAGTGCCGTATATGCCGAGTAATATCACGGAGTGGCATATACCCCTAAAAGATATAGTAACATGAGGCTCAAGATGATCGGACCAGCATCAGGGACGGGCGGCGTCCATGCTCCGAGCATGCCTCGGCTGCAAGCAAAGAGAAAAGGCGCTGAGAAAGAGAAACACCGTTTTATTTTAGGTCATATATTTGCTGCAGTGGCAAGGAGATTGCCGCCCGCTGCCGATCAAACATGGAGAAAATGGTGTGTTTTCTACTCTCTCCACGATGGCAACAGGGTGAGAGAAGGGGGAAAAAAAAATAGGGGAATGGTATGAGGCGCTCGGTGCATCGTAGTTTTTACATTTCAAGTCGGTGCCATTAGCATGATCCATTCGTCGAAAGAGAGTTGAGCACTGCTCAGTGCTCCCACATCACGGTCCCATTCGAGGTCTCCATGATGGGCTGTCCCCTTGTGTAGAAGAAAGGAGCAACGTATCTGGGCGCGAGAGCCGGGTGGGCGGCAGCGCCTGCTAAGCGGAGCCCAAGTTTCCCAAGAACCAGGATATCAAAGTCTCGAGGTGGTAGCCATACTGGAGTCACGTTTTTTACTGAAAATCAGCAGATGAGGGGAGGAGGCTACGAATACGCGCGCGCACAGCTGAAGCTGAGAGTGTGGGAAAATAATCATCTCTCGTACGTAACACAACTTGACATTGAAAGGTTTCTTCGTATCCTCGTTTCCCAGCCTTGATCCAGTTTTGTGAGACTGACTTTGTTGTTGCAGACTGCATTGCGCAAGGTGCAGGCGCAGACCAAAAAAAAGAATATCAACTCGGAAGACTGGGACCTCTTAAGCCGGAGCAGCAGGTGATGCAGTACCATACAGCAGAGAGGTTTGCTTTTTCCTCTCTCAATTGTTCACACACGTTCCAGGGGGAGTACATAGAGTTCTCGTCTCCTTGCTCTCAAACGCGGGAGTGATGATCGTCCCATCCTGTCATCAGTGATCCCCGGGCCCAAACAAGGTCTAGAATTTGGGAAAGAGAATGACAGCCTCGGAAATCATATCAAAGTGTCCATGAAGGCGCAGAATTTGGTTCAAGTAAAATAGTGAATACTACCGAACAATACACACAATTGTTCTATTGTGGGACCTCACGATATTTGCACGTCCGTGCTTCAGGGCAATGGAGCTCAGTGGCGGATTTTCCGGGTTTACAATGACCTGCGGCTCTCACTGCTCTGCCTGAAAGCTGGGGCAAACGAGAGGGACTAGCAACGGCATGACGATGAATAAGATTCATAGGTAGCAGAAAAAAAGAAAAGAAAAAGCTTTGAAGATGAGGAAGAAAGAAAAAAAACGAGTGTCCCTGGTCCATGTCCAAGATTGGCCCCCTGCTGTACCGAGGTGGTGCCCTTGATGCCAGATTGTAATCCGACAGGTCGAGATTCTTGGGTTTGCTCCCCTGTCTAGGGTAACATCTGAGATGGATCCCCAACATCGACACTGGGGGAGGTCAGAATACTTTTGCGGCGACTCTGGAGTCTGTTTAGCCCGTCTGCTCCCTGGGCCAATTTCGCGTTCCAACCAAACTGCTGGGACAATGGGACAGCGGGAAAAGACGCCCAGGATCAGGACTGCCCCCCATGCAGGGCATTTTTTGGGCGTTGAAGCAGATAGATAGAGTCCATCTCCACAGGCTCGCTAAAATTGGCAAAGTTGAGCGGCCAGAACGGTTGCAACGAGAAGAAGGGCAGGGAATTGTGTCTGTTGTGCATCGGTGATGACGACGCGACCAAGAGACTTTACGCCTGGCAGTCATGGATCTCAGGGCAAGAGATGCCTGTCGTTTTACGATTTGGCGAGATGGGCTCTTGCTTGGCGTTAGAACATCAGACGATTTGACATCTCGCCCTCATCATATCATTCCCCGGAGCTGGGCCGATCTCGAGAGCATCTCCGCAGCTGATCAGTGTCTGCCCCCCAGCCAGCGTCGTTTTAGGCCATGCAAAATGCCACTTGTAGGTGACATTGCAGGCTGCTTGCTCATCTGTCACGGGCAGTAATCATAGTCCAGACTGACGTTGTGCTACAATCGAGCGCACCATCCTAGGAGGGGGGAAAAATAGGTGGTTGTGGCTTGTGTTGTCTCAGCGCAAGGCCGCGTGCTGGATAGATGGATCGTGTGTAAAAGTCGTAACACTAGATGGTAGCTATGTCAGTGTCGAGGCAGTTTATGCCGCTCGGCGCTCGACTATGAGATGAAGCAACCTTCTCACCCCGCAATCGGCATGCCACATCATGGTCTTGCTGCTCACGGGCGGGCGCATAATGATGATTACTATTGCAGTAGTCGTTAGTTGGCCATCGCGAGCTTGAAAATGCTAGGTTATTCGGTGTTCTATCCGGAATCTCCGTTACAAGGCTCCATACGGTTCGATTCAGGCTAGGTGTATGCAAGTGTTGGTGACTGTAGGCAGGCAGTATACTGCTACAGTATGTACTGACTTTGCCTGCTAGGGGCGGTAGGTAGGGTCATGTTCGCTCCCGACCGAGATTGCTAGGGCCACAGGACAGCCCGCCCAGGTCAGGTCCCACGCCGGTCGCGGCATGGTATCCCTCGTCGGTGATATCGGTAGCGGATCGCCCCTACAGTCGTGAAGCCACCGTCTCTCTTGGCGTCCGAATCGATGGATCGAAGGCTTGCGTGGTCGTGCTTCAGGTCTTTGGTATTGACAATGAAGAATTCGCACCAACCAGATCATCGAGAGCAAAGCCTATGTCCAAAGATCTGCCGTTGCCGAGGCATCATTGGCACTGAGCGTTAGTAGGTCATCGCGCAGGGGTGAGGGTTGGACAATAATTTTATCTCAATCTAGGGTGTTGTTCAGCACAGCGCGACCGACACATCGGTACGTACAGTTCAAGGATTCACTACTGTGTGTGTGCGTAAAGGTGAGATTAGTCTCTTGACCATGTTTTGCGGCATTTGTAGCCACGAGTTGAGTTGATTTGTATGCCGTATGTCATCCTTCCGAGCCTAGGATTTTTTTCAAAACAAGCTCGGCCGGTTGAGACACCAACCGAATACTGCCATGGTTGCGATGCATGAGGTGATAGCGTCTCATGGAAATTGACTACCATCAATCAAATCAGCCTTACAGTAAATGAAGCAATATCTATGGTCGGAATAATAGAGTGATGTTCGAAAGGGAGGGTGAACTCCCCCGCAATGCAGGTTGCATCTTGGTTGCCGGTAGTACCTAATGCTGTGCCTACTTACTACCTCATACCTAGGTAGTAGTAGTTGGTTGTTGCACGAAAGGGTGCTGCTGCTGCTGGTGGTCGCTTACATTTCCTGTTACTGACCGGACCCAACAACAGCTCAGCCACCAATGGCCCGTCCGTGATAGGTCTTTTGCTGTTGATATTTTGGTCCATAGCAGTCTGCCAAGCCATGTTAGAGAACAAAAAAAGTGAGATGCACCAATAAAGACCCTTGGTGACGCGTATCCACCAACGTGATTTTTACGTGCCCGTTGTGATTCTGCGACAATGATGGACCGGGGGAAC